GTGTGTTTATGGGAGACTTTAACTTCCCAGATAGAGATTGGAGGACACATGCTAATAATAATAGTAAGGCCCAGATTTTCCTGGATCTGATAGCTGACAGATTTCTTCATCAAATAGTTGCTTTCCTTGATTTCAAAAGAGCTAATTTCAAAAAATTAAGGCAGTGATTTTCAACCTGTGGCCCACAGGCCACTTGCAGCCCAATCAGCACATGTGACATCCTCAGGGCCATCCAGGTAATATATATATTGTGTGGATGCAGCCCACATAACACACAGAGAGCTTTATGTGTGGCCCACAATGGTAAATAGGTTGAGAACCACTGAATTAAGGGAATTAATTAGGGAAGTGGACTGGACTGAAGAACTCAAGGATCTGAATGTGGAGGAAACTTGGAATTACTTTAAGTCAGAGTTGCATAAGCTATCTGGACCCTGCATCCCCACCAAGGGAGGGGGTGGTGAATTTGTAGGGAAGGGTTGCAGACCAACCTGGATCAGCAAGCATCTCAAACAGGTGATTAAGTAAAAAGGAATACTTGTGGCACCTTAGAGACTAACAAATTTATTAGAGCATAAGCTTTTGTGGGCTACAGCCCACTTCATCGGATGCACAGAATGGAACATATAGTAACAAGAGTATTATTCTTTTTTTATACATACATACATACATACATAGAAGGTGGAAGTTGCCATATAAACTGTAAGAGGCTAATTAGTTAAGATGAGGTATTATGAGCAGGAGAGAGAAACTTTTGTAGTGATAATCAAGATGGCCCATTTAGACAGTTGACAAGAAGGTGTGAGGATTAAGTGAAAGCAGAAAGCCTACAAGGAATAGAAGGATCAGCAGGAAGACTACCTCTTGAAGATCAGAAAGTGTAGGAATAAAGTGCAAACTGCCAAAAGCCAAACAGAGTTGGACTTCGCAAAGGGAATTAAAAACAATTAATAGGTTTTATAGCCATATAAATAAGAAAACAAGGAAAGAAGAAGTGGGATTGATAAGCACTGAGGATGGGGAGTGGAGATTAAAGATTATCTAGGCATGGCCTAACACCTAAATTAAATACTTCGCCTCATTTTTTAGTAAGGCTAATGAAAAGCTTAGGGGCAGTGGCAGGGTGGCTAGTGGCAATGAGGATATGGAAGTAGAAATTACCACATCTGAGGCAAAAATCAAACTCAAACAGCTTAATGGGACTAAATCAGGGGACCAGGAGAATCTCCATCCAAGAATATTTAAGGAACTGGCACATGAAATTGCAAGTCCAATAGCTAGGATTTTTAATGAATCTGTAAACTCAGGGATCATACTATATGATTGGAGAATTGCTAATATAGTTCCTATTTTTAAGAAGGATTAAAAAAGGTATCCAGGAAACTACAGATTTGTTAGTTTGTTCTCAAGTTTATGCAAGGTCTTGGAACAAATTATGAAAGAAAAAGTAGTTAAGGACGTAGAGGTGAACGGTAATTGGAATAAAATGCAATAAGATTTTACAAAAGGTAGATCATGCCAGACCAACCTGATTTCCTTCTTTTGAGAAGATAAAGATTTTGTAGACAAAGGAAATGCAGTAGATTTCATCTATCTGGATTTCAGTAAGGCATTTGATACAGTTCCACATGGGACATTATTAGTTATATTGGAGAAGATAGGGATTAATATGATGATTGAAAGTCAATAAGGAACTTGTTAAAGGGGAGAAAACAGCATACTGAAAGGTGAACTGTCAGGCTGGAGGGAGGTTACTAGTGGAGTTCCTCAGGAAGAGTCTTGGGACCAATCTTATTACTGACCTTGGCACAAAAAGTGAGAGAGCTAATAAAATTTGCAGATAACACAAACTTGGGAGGTATTGCCAATACAGAAGAGGACTGGAATATCATTCAAGAAGATCTGGATGATCTTGTAAACTGGAGTAATAGAAATGGGATGAAATTTAACAGTTCAAAGTGCAAGGTCATGCATGTAGGGACTAACAACAAGAATTTTTTCTATAAGTTTTGGACTTCTCAATTGGAAGCGACAGGAGCAGAAAGACGTGGGTGTATTGGTTGATCTCAGGATGACTATGAGCTGTCAATGTGATGGAGCCATGAAAAAGTCTAATACAATCCTAGGATGCATCAGCTGAGGTATTTCCAGTGGACACAGGGAAGTGTTAGTACCATTATACAAGGCACTGGTGAAATCTCATCTGGAATACTGTGTGCAGTTCTGGGCTCCAATGTTCAAGAAAGATGAACTCAAATTGGAACAGGTGCAGAGAAGGATTACTAGGATGATCCAAGGAATGGAAAACCTACCTTATGAGAGGAGACTCAAAGAGGTTGGCTTGTTTAGCCTAACCAGAAGAAGGCAGAGGGGAGATATGATTGCTCTCTATAAATACATCAGAGGGATAAATACGTCAGAGAGAGAGAGAGAGGAGGTAAGTTAAGCGCAAAAGTGGACACAAGAACAAATGGATATAAATTAGCCATCAAAACTTTAGGCTTGAAGGTTTCTAACCATCAGAGGAGTGAAGTTCTGGAACAGCCTTCCAATGGGAGCAGAAAACCGAACTGGCTTCAAGACTGAGCTTGATAAATTTACGGAGGGGATGGTCTAATGGGACTGCCTACACTAGCACATGGTCCATTGGCAACTGCCAGTAGCAAAAATTCCCAGTAGCTGGAGATGGGACACTAGATGGAGGGCTCTGGGTTACTACAGAGAATTCTTCCCAGGTATCTGCCTGGTGGGTGTTGCCCACATGTTCATGGTCTAACTGATCGCCATATTTGGGGTCGGGAAGAATTTTTCCCTCGGGTCAGATTGGCAGAGACCCTGGGGATTTTTCCCCTTCCTCATGTGCAGGTTTAAACTGGTGTTAATGGTGAATTCTCTGTAAATTGAAGTCTTTAAACTATGTTTTGAGGACCTCAGTAACTCAGGCAGAGGTTATGGGTCCACTACAGGAGTGGGAGGTTGAGATTCTGTGGCCTGCAATGTGCAGGAGGTCAGACTAGATGATCATGATGGTCGCTTCTGACATTAAAGTCTATGAATCTCTTTCACTCATTGATCTGATCAATTTATGTTTCCAGTGCAAGAGGAAACAGAAAGCTCTTTGGGGCAGGGACTGCCCCTTAGTATGGTGCCCAGTGCAATGAGTCCCTGACCTCTGGATGCTATTGTGATACAGATATAGTCACAAAGGTCTGATGATCTCAGCTACATTAGAGGTTCACCAGAATGGTTGATTGGAGTTCTAAAATCAAACACCATAGAAACATATGTACCTTCCCTAATGGCGTCATGTAGGTAGACACATCAGTTTCTCCCTTTGAATATGCTCAATTGCCAACATTAATCAGATTACACAAGACTATGGCTGGCCTTTCTAGTTACTATTTGGAATTGGAAATATATCTCCTATATAGACAAGAATCACACAACTATTGTCATGAGGAAAAGGTTATTCTTATAGCTCCAGGAAACCTTTATGTTCAAGGTAAGTTCCTCTTTCCACAATTCCTGGGAAATAGTTCTGTTACTTTGTGCTAATCCCTAGCACTCCTTTGGAAGATTGTGGCAGAAATGGGCATTCCTACCAGTCTAAAGATCTGTCTCAAGCATATTGAATACATATACTAATTTATATTCTTTTCATCTCATTCTATCCAAAACGTCAAGGCCTTAAGTCTTCAAAGTTGCTGCAGGCAAGATGTTAAATCCTGCACCAGTTATCATGCTAGGATTTGGGAAACAATTCACAGAAGTCCCTAGGGTATTGGAGAAAAGTGTATGAGCCCCATCTATGGAAGATTTACAAAATAAGTTTCCATTTCTCTGCAGTCATCCATTGATAGGAGAGTTATACTGGGTTGGTTTCCACACAATTCCTTGCTTTATATGGGAAGAACTTCCATTCCTGCCTATTATTCTACTATAAAAATAATTAAAACTCTGCTTATCTTTCCCCCTACCTCTATGATTCACTTCTTGCTATTTCCCATTAGAGATGAATGAGGAGAGAAGCTGTGCAACAGAAAGAGATTTTTCATGATAATTTTCTTTTTATTAGCAGCTTCTTTCCTTGTTCAACACATCCTGGTAATCTGGTAAATGGTTGGAATACAAATGGAAATTTTCCTCTAAAGGGAGACTTAAATATATAACTGTGTTAAGGATAATTACCACATGATATCAAGTGATCTTAATGCTAATAGTCGGTTGCTGGAGTGTTTCTATAGCTTTGGAAGAATCCTGGTAGCCTGAGCTGATGGACAAGGGGCTTAGTCGTGCAGCCTCCAGCAATAATGGACTGCCTCAGAAATTTCAAAGCCAGGGTGGGGGCATTAATTTCTTAGTGTTGAATTGGACAGAAGCTGCTAACAAGGAAAATTATCGGGTAAGACATTTCTCATTCCTTGGTAAATACCTTATTATTAAAGGAAAATGACATTTAACTTTAGAATATAAAATGTTGTAAATTTCCCCTTTGTTAAGGCAAATGTATATCAAAAGATAAATAATTCCTGGGAGCTGGAGGTCCTCCGACATATATATGTCGCCCATTTCCTAACTTCATCCACAGGAACATGCTATAGGAATTTTAATATGTTGGAGAATAACAGATGGGAAAAGATTTTGCAAGAAAAAATGGATTTTTCTTAAAATTTGGACAAATAAAGTAATGAAGTGGTTTTGTTGAGCTCTAGTAATAAACCAACATTTCTATATCCTCTTCTGTTTTGTATTGCACCTTTTTGTTTATGGTATAACCACCTGTTTCTATGTCTGTTATGTTGCCTCTGGGTGATAATTTATAAATGTGTTCAGTAATTGGGTCTGATTCTACTACTAGATAGTTGCCTTTTGCATTGACTGCATTACACAGGTACAACTCCTAACTGAGGTCAGAGTGGGACCTACTCTGTTCAATAGAGTCTGTACAATTTTTGGTTTCCTCTTCTATAAATGTCTCATTCTGCTTCTCTTTCAAACAGTTCCAACCACCAAAACTCATCCCAATTCAAAATCTCATTGCATTTGAGCAAAGCCGCCAGCGTACCAGTGCACCGCACGAGTTCAGTGGACAAGACCATTCTGGTCAGATTGAGTTGTTAAAAGCTAACATTGAACCATTTGACGCAAGACACACATGGAATAATACAAAAAGGCAAGGACAGATTTTCAAAATTGGTCTTCATTTGGAGAGGCTTACTAGTAACCTGAGCCTTCTCTGATTGATTACAATGAGAGTTTTTGTACCAGCTTCTTTGAAAACAGGATTGAATGCTTAATAATTTGAGGAAATGGATATTGAGATTCAGAGCCTTGCACTTCTAAATCTCTGGTATGAATTGTTGTTACCATGTATCGTGTTCATTCCCTACTCTGGGAAAGGATTTCATAGTCACAGTTTAGTTCTTAGTGGTCCGCTGTCCACATCACAAAATAGTCACATTGCTAGTGCATGTATTCCTTAAGAGAGCATGTTGTCTGACCTCTGGAGGAGTTTAATTTAGGTCAGGGTTCTAGGCTCATTGACAGGATGATAATTTCCTTGTAAAGTCATTGATCCTGATTGTGAACCCAGTGGAGTGAATGGCAAAACTCCCACTGATCTGAATGAGTACATGATTGAGTTATTTACTTAGCTAATTCTGTGGTACTGGCTGTATATTTCATGACTTTTAAACTGATCTTTGTTATTGCACATTAATCTAGAATTATTTTCATTACGTGGTCAGTACAAACTAAAGCAATTCCTATGTTAGCCCTTGAGCTGCATCTACCTTGCCCATGCAGTTCTTCTCCAGCATCAGTAGATTACTGTCATGACAGTTCAGAGTTCTGTGTTTCCCTTGAAAGAGTTAATGACATCAAAGCACCTAAAGTAGAGCACCCCCACTTGTGATTCTGATGCCTTCACTTGTGGTTAGAAACACAGAATCCTGAACTTAGTTCTTGATAGGTAAGTAAGAGTAACTGATTTGATTTTCAGATATCTTGCTTTAAAATGTTATAAATTATAATGTTTAAGGCAATTTGTGGTCTTTTACTAATCTGATAGTAAATATTTTTAAACGAAAGCTTTGCAGTTCTTTTAGGAAAACAAGTTACAGGTTAGGGAGAGTTTCATTCATAGCAACACGGATTTATTTCTTGCTGCAACATTTCTGTGTAGGCCCCTCTGCCTTGTGTAATATTTTATTTTCATTGTATACAAAAGATAGCAGTCGTAATCATGTTGTAAAGGATACAAAATAACAGGTTTACAATAATTTAGTTAAATGAGGTCTTAGATAACCAGTATATTATTTTTGATTCGAATATGTGAATAAGTTTGTGTTACTATTAAATATTTTATGAACACCTTAAATAGCGTAGATACTTACGTTTTTAATTAGTTTAAATGGAACAGCAGTTAACTCTCTTTACTCAAACACCTAATATATTTCTTAAGAAGAAGGTTATTGTGTTCTTTCTTGCTTATTAGAAAGAATGATTGATGTTTCTATTATCAGAAAAGTTAAATTGTGATTTCTCACTGATATGTTGACAGGCAAAAGAGACGTGCTGAAAAACAGATAAAAGAGAAGGAGGACAAGAAAAAAGCAAGTGTGACATTCCGCCCAGATGACTCCATTATTGGTACTGATGATATAGAGAGAGTTTTTGAAACTGAGATACAGGTATAAGAAAATAATTATTTTCTTCCTTTTTTTTATTGATTTTTAAAATGATACCAGAGAAGCAACAAGCAAACACAATATAAACCAAACTCTGCTAAATACCTCCTCCCACTCTTTCTAGCACAGAGGTGGGCAAACTATGACCCGCGGGCCACATCCGGCCCGTGGGACTGTCCTGCCCGGCCCCTGAGCTCCTGGCCGGGGAGGCTAGCCACTCCCCCGCTGTCCCCCCTCCGCCTCAGCCATGTCGCTGTGTGAGCAGTGTAGCTTGCTCCCATCCATCTCCTAGGCTTTCCAATAAGCCTGTCCTGCGGCTCTGAGTGGCATGGTAAGGATAAGGGGGAGAGGGGGTTGGATAAGGGGCAGGAGGTCCCGGGGGGCAGTCAGGGGACAGGGAGCAGGGTCGGGGGTGACAGGGAGCGGTTGGATGGGGGAGGGTTCTTGGGGGGCAGTTAGGGACAGGGTCCCGGGGTGCACTCAGGGGACATGGAGCAGTGGGGGTTGGATAGGGTGTGCACTCCTGTGGGGAGCAGTTAGGAATGGGGGGTTCCGGGAGGGGGTGGTCAGGGGACAAGGAGCAGGGCGGGTTGGATGGGTCAGGAGTTCTGAGGGGGGCAGTCAGGGGGCGGGAAGCGAGAGGGGGTTGATGGGGGTGGGAGCCAGGCTGTTTGGGGAGGCACAGCCTTCCCTACCCGGCCCTCCATACTGTTTCGCAACCCCAATGTGGCCCTCGGGCCAAAAAGTTTGCCCACCCCTCTGCAGTGATCTCATGTACCTTTTTTACTTGCACACTTGCATTTTCCTTTAAGCCAGAGATAAAGCCCTCTTTTACCAAAAGAAATTCTTCAGGGTATTTTTCATTACTCCTGTCAGGTGCCCACATGAAATAATTTCTGCAATGTTGACATACCAGTCCTATAAAATTGGGACATGAGCTATTCCTCTTTCTGAGGATGAGGGTTTTTTTGCACAATCAAGGGGAGTTGCAATCCATAAAAAAATTCTTTGTTGGCTTGTACTGATGAAAATCCCCATAGTGATTATAATTCTTATTTAACTGGTTATTTATTCCATAGCATTCCTATCACATTTATAATCATTTGTCCAGAAATTCACTAATGTTTTCTAGGTCATTTTTATTTAAAACTGTACAAACTGTAGATCTTGCTTAAGTGTGGTGGTACCATTTGCTATTTTATTATGCGTATTTTTAAGGCACGCAGCACTGTACTGCTGTGTGTGTTTCCTTTATATAATTTAGAAATAGAGCAGTTCCTCACAAAGAATGGGGGATAGCAAGGCTCTTCTCCACAATTTATTTAAAAAGCAGTCTAGTTCATATTGCTTAGAGTAGGGGGTCTCAAACTTTTTCTCTTGGAGGCCCCCATCAACAGGCTATAAAAACTCCAGTGCCCAGCAGGGGTGCAGCCTTCAGGGCAGGGGCCTTGAGCATAGGCGTAGTTTGACTTCTGTTTTGCGGGGGCAGGGTTGAGAAGGGCTCGAGCCACCTCCACATGGTGGGGTCCAGGGATGGAGAGCCACCTCCACCCCCGACTCACCTCAGCTGGCCACCCAGCCTGTCTGGGTTTGGGTGTGGAGAGGTGCAACCAAAAATTATAACTTAAAAAGTTTGAAAACAGCTTAGGTGGAGGGAGGGGGTAGCTCAAGGTACGGAGAAGGGGTAGCTGGGGCTGTGTGCACACGGGGTGGCTGTGGGTGCAGGGAGAGGGGTGGCTAGGGGCTTCGTGGGGGCAGGGGGGTAGCTAGGGCTGTGTGCGGGCGGGGGGGTGGGGTAGCTCAGGATGCCGGGAGAGGGTAGCTGTGTCTGTGTGTGGGTAGGGAGGTAGCTCGGGGTGTAGGGAGAGGGGTATTAGAGGCTGTGTGCTAGGAGGGCTCCCCTGCAGTCCCTGTTCCCGGAGGAGTCTGTCAGCCACAGAGCTGGGTCTCCCCATACAGACTGCTCTTACCAGCTGCCTCTGCATAAGCAAAAAGGGCTGGGAGCTGAGGAGCAGCTTCAACCTGGGGCACCAGCAGGAGAGGAGGAAACGTTGCGGCTGCCTGCTCTATGGCACCAGCTAGATCAGCAGCTGCCCCGCATGGCCTGGTGTGATGGCAAAAACAGCAGCCGGCACATTTTCCCACCAATAGCAGTTACCTTCTGAGCCAGCTCAGTTTGGGTGAGCATGCTCAGTACAACCTAGATAGGAAATTCTTCTGTCAGGGAGCTGTTTTTGCTACTACACAGGCTCTGGCTTCCGATCTCTGACCTGGCAGGGGGTGGGGAAAGGAAATTAGGTGGGAGGTGTGGAGCTGTCCCCGGGACTGCTGTGCTCTTGTGCTGCAGTTTTGGCGGGGAGGAATGCCCTCCATGTCCCCAACTCAGCCCATGGGCTTCTGCCCCACAGGGAGCACCAGGGCTCAGGGATTCAGTCCCGCACCTTCTAGCTTCAGCCCCGCGGGGGGGCACTGGGGATTGGGGGTTCAGCCCTGTGCCTCCCAGGAGTCCTGGTTTCAGCCTCGCGGGGCTCACTGGTGGGGATTGGGGCTTCAGCCTCCTGAGGGACACTGGTGGGGATCAGGGCTTCAGCCCTGTGGGGGGCCACAGACCCCCAGTTGAGAACCACTCAACTGGCTTAGAGCACTCCATAGCACAAGTAGGGGAAAGCCAGAGCAAAGAGAATTCTTGTATAGCACTCTGTGGGTGGTCTGGCCTAGCAGTCACGACTGGGCTGGTGTCTACATGTCAGGGACAGTAGTCTGTAAGCCCGGTTCAATAAGCAAGAGTGGGCTGAAGTCGGGCCAGGGTCAGAGACCACAGGTAGTACCTGGCTAGAATAAGGAGGCAGGAATCAGGGTCAAAGTCAGGCCAGAGCTGGAGACCAGAGATCAGTGATAGTACCAAGCTAGAATCAAGAGACAGGAATCAGGATCAGAGTCAGGCTGGAGTTGGAGACTGGAGATCAGAAGTAGCACCCAGCTGGAGTCAGGAAGCAAGAGTCAGGGTTAAAGTCAGGCTGGGATGAGAGATCAGGAGATGAGGTGAGGTCCAGAGTCGCAGCAGGCCCAAAGCCTGTGTGGTTGCCCAGACAATTTTTTGGGGCACCCTCCACAGTTTATTAGGATGGTTGGCCCATCAGAGGGCTTCAGTGTACTGTTACGATGGGTCCTTTGGGTGGTACTTCCTGTGGCGCCTGTTCTCCACAGTGCTTCCTGGGTGTGCTCTGCATGTCCTCCTGGTTATCCTCTGGGAACATTGGCTGTCCCAGGCTCAGCAGACCTGGGTTCTAGTCCCTGCATCCTTACCGTGGGGTGGGAAGACTTTGGCTCGGGTGAATATTAGTAAATAGCAAATTCTTCAGGAATGCTCTGCTCTTGGAGCTTACAAGTCCTGCCCTGGGGCCCAGTTGCTTCAGTGTCCGTACCCAAATGCAACTGCCACTCAGGGTGCAGACAGAGAGAGAGGTGGTGTATAGCTCACATGTAAGGCTTAATAGATAAAAGACCAGGAGCATAAATTGTACCTAGATTTGAATTAGTAATCCATGTAGATTTTGGAGCACTAATAAGATGTTCTCATTATCTGTTTTGCCTAGAAGCTAAACCACCTGGTATTACTGTTGTTTTAACTGATCACTACATTCATTAATTTAACCATTGTGACAGGATCGTTACGGTTAAAAGAAATTAGGAAGATGGATTAGGACCAGATTCTACAAACTTTACTTTCACTGAGTGGCACTTATGCAAATTGTCGTATTGAAATCAATGGGAGTATTTATGTGAATAAGTGCTATGTAGAGTGAATTAGAGTTGTAGAAAATGGCCCTTGGAGGGTAGTGCTTTGCTTCCATAGACCAAGGTCCAAGTATAATAATAATAATAATAATAATTAATAAGTGATCAGGCATTGTGCAGACATTTAACAAAAAAGAGAGTCCCTTTTTGCAAACTTAAGTATAAGATAAGAGACAACAGATGAGTAGAAACAGACAGAAGGGGCAGTACAAGGAAACAATTAAGCAGTACTGATCAGCATGGTAGGTAGTGGTCTCAGCATACCAGCAGCCTAATCTTGTCAAGTTTGGTCTCTGGATTTTTAATCCTCAGGCCAAGCAGAGGCTGGAAATGCCATTGATGTAAGAATCTCTGCCTCCATGTAGGAAGGTCAGTTTATGTACCACTTTGACAGAACCCTCAATATTTGGTTGTAAGGATACATTGCAGCTTTGGAGAACTGTTGCATGTATGTGAGGAATGTGTAAGCGATTGTGTAGCCCTGTCCTTTTGTTTTCAAATGCCTCCTAATGGCATTTAAAATTGATGACCGGCTGGTAGGCCTATATGTATGTAAAGATCTGTAAAGAACTATATTGAACTCAGATTAGTTAAAATGAAAAAAAATTGCCCAAAGTGACCTATGTTGTTATGAGGAGCAGCCTAAATATTTCTTTCAAAAATCCCTAAAAGTTTTAAAATATAAATTTAGTTGAGGGAGTTGCATGGCTGCCTACTGCCACTTCAGTACAGGAATAATACCAGAATTAAAGAAGAAGAGTGGGGAAAGTGTGTTTTCTAATGAGTTTTAAAATTATTGCTCAAAGGAAGCATAACTTTATTTAAAAGTTGACAGCATCAGGAAATCCTGTAACACTGGTTTGATCACATTTTTCTCATATTAGGATCAGCAAGCAGAATCCAGCCATTATCTTGGAGATGATTTTGTCATTTCACTTGGTATGTACATTCGTGTTTTAAAAAAAAATCATGTCTAAAGTCATGAACTCTATCTTTTTTTTTCAAAATGTTGTCAGATGTCACAGAAAGAACTAACTGGTTAAATTCTGAGTTCCTAGGTTGATATGTTTAACTCTTTCCCTTGCTGAGCATAATAAAGACATGACAACATCAAGATGCAACATCTCAAATCATGCAGTGTAGAGTAGCGAACACCATCATGGCTTGCAAGATCTCCCCAATAAAATCATGACAATCTCTATTAATGCATGATGAGTTGAAACCATAAGTCTAGTCCTCTTTCATGGCACTGGAGTTTTGAAGGGTACTCCCAAAACAACCAAACAAACAACGCCTCACAGATTTAGGGTCTGTGGGCTGGATTCTGACCTCAGTTACACATAAATGTGCACTCAGAATAGCTCCACTGAAGTGAATGGAGTTACTCCAGGTTTACATGAGAGTAAATGAGATCACTGTATTGTTTATAATTGTATAAATTATCCCTGTATTGTTTCTGTCCTAGAATATTGCAAAAGAGAGAGAAAAAGAAAAGAATGGAAAATTAGGTGTTCATTGCAGTGATTACACTACCTGTACTTGTTGGGAAAAAACAGTTAGAAAATATATTTTTCAAGGTTTATAACAAATTTCTGTAGTTTAAATAAAATAGATATTACTCCACTTTTATTTAAATGAAAATTTTGATTACGTGGAATATACGGTGCCTCTGGGAGCAAATTGCCTAGGTTATTCTGAAAATGATCTCTTCTCTAACCTGTCAAAAGTGCACGTGGGGGAAAATGTGGCTGATATCCTTCCTTCCAACTAACTAATTCAATATCAGACTTAGTATTGCTAGGAGCAAAAAGAGAAGAAAATCTATTCCCTGACCTTGGGTATTGGAGAAATAGGTGATTGCCTTGTCGAAATACAAGCCAAAAATAAGAAAAATAAAACATACATACATACACACACATATATATATATACACACACACACACATTTTTTCTTTAAAACATGAGACAAGTACAAAATTTTATTATATAAAAAGATATCTCATTTAAAATTTACTAGGCCAAATTCAGGCTTGGTTTAAGTAGGTACAACCACATAGATTTCAGTGGAGTTGGATCCTTTTACATTAGGTCTTAAATTGGGCACCACCAATATTTTTATAAAGCGTGCTTACTGAAATAATAGTTGACTTCTTTCTAATTTAAAAACTGTAGAACAGATAAATACAATTACAGCAGTTATTTAGTTTGTTTCATTCTGAAATGGCTAGTTTATGGTATATTTTTCTTTAAAAATAATTCTTGCTCTAATAGAGGACAATGATTATGTGTTTCCCCATTTTAGACACAGTGGGAGAGGCTGTTACTACTTCAGCAGGTCTACACTGCATGGCTTCCACAAGGAAAAAACCCGCAGAAACTCAAGATGCAAGCACAAATACAGATCCGGGTAAAATGCCACCTATAATCTGTTTGTGCTATTTGTTTTACACTCTTGCAATTAGTTGTTTTCCAGATCTGCTTTTGTGTATTGCAGTATTTGCTCATTTTTATAATCAAAAAAGCTTAAAAATATTGACTACCTTGTTATATTTTTTGGTATTTTAATCTTTTCTTATTTTAAATAAATAATAAAACAATAGAAATTCCTGTTCCTACAGATATTCAAATAAAAATGCAAAATCTCTTCTTAACATAAAGCGATTGTCAGTTTTTTCCTGAGGACCAGATCCCAAAGTCTTTTCTCTGGAAATACTCCTGTTGATTTCATTTGGCATTTTGTCCACATTATGGCTTAGATTTAGCAGTTTAGAACTAAGATTTAGATCTTGGGCATTAGAATCTGGTTACTTCCTTTTTCTTATATAGTTTCTGTTAATGGATAGTAAGCAAATGTTTTCTGTATGGGTTTCTGCTCTCCCAACATTTTTCCTGTTCTAGTAATCCATTTTGATTTTATTTTTTCATACCATTCAAGTTCTCAAGTCCTATCAGGATATAGAAACTGGCTCTGAAGACATAGCTTCTGAACTTAGTAAAAACCAACCTATCGCCTCTGTTCCTTCAACAGGTGTGCCTTCTGCCTTTCTTTGTCATTCTGTGGATTGCATGGGTTTTCTGTATACACTTTTGCATTATATGATGTTTTCAGTACCTAGTGGAGAATATCATGAAGAAGACATTAATTTTAGTCCAATTGTTCTTAAAATCTAACTAAATAACAGTGATTCGTGATATGAAAATGTTGATTGTGACTGCATTTCATGACTCTATAGTCCACATTTTTGTTCTCCTGCATTAGCAGATACTTTTGTGGTTTTATGCATATCTGTCATTTCCCAGTCGCTCCATATCTGAGCAGGCTGCCTTACTCAGTTTTTCCACTTACTGGCAGGAACAATTTTTCCCCTGATCTGGCCGTGATTTTTCAAGCAAGATTTTTCTGCAGAATAGAATCTGATTTGTTCTTTATGATAAAAATACTTCTCTTTTGTGCAAATTGGCTCTGCAGGAGAATTTTTTTTTATTTGGTTTTTGCCAAATATAAGACCTTGAAAATGAGATTTGTAATGGAAATATCCTTTTAGCCACAAAGCTGTGCTACATCTTCCATTAGAATTTACAGACAACAAAAGGATTATTGCTATAATTTTATTAATCTAGCCTAGACCCCTAGAAATTAGAGGTGGAAGAGATCCATTAAATTACCTAGGTACTTCCCCCTTCCAGCGCATGATTGTTCCCCACATGTGCTTAATTTTGACAGTGCCACTTTTCTCGCGAAACCATTCCACCATCTGATAATTTAATGCATTACGAAGATGCGTGCTACAGTTTTTGCTAACAATGTGTTCTTATGAGTTTTAGAGCAAGTATCAGGTTTGGGCTTTTTAACTAATTTAATTGAAGAACTGTTTCTGGAAACTAATAGAAGTTCACAGTTTCTTTGATATTACTGATTTTTAAATTTTTGTGATTATCACCAAAATGAAAAATAATGTTGTAATAATCCGTTTTATTGTGAATAATTATTAAACAATATAGCATAGCATGTCACTTTATTCTGGTCAAAGGATAACAGAAGCTTTCCTTGATTGAGTTAGTGGAATCTGTTTCCAAATTGTTTTTCTAATATGCCAGGGATATTTACTGTATGTTGTATTCCTAACCATTATTTCCTTTCTCATAGAACATCTGGTTTCAAGAGTTCCTCAGATGTTGCCACCAGACATGTACTTAAACTTCAGGTTCCACACAGAAGTAGGGAAGAGACTTTTACCATCCTCTGGGTCTGATACTGCACCTGATTTGGTTAGTACTCAGAAATATTTTCTGATAATACAGTTATAACATGCTGTATGTAACCAGTTGTGTTAGTTTGGGTTCGTCTCATCATCATGAGTTGATTGCATGAAACTTTATAGAAAAATGACTGTTATCTAGTCTTTGAAATAAACAATTATCTATTTCAATTCAAAAACCAAAGACAATGGATTAGAAAAGAGGACAGTTAGCCATAGTACTACCCAAAATACATATTGTATAATTCCTTTAAATTTTTTCTGCTGTGGTTCAGATTGGACACACATATATCAATGTGATTGACATTGAAGACAATGATCTCTTGAAGGATTTGCCTACTATAGCTGAGTCTACAGAAGAGATGGTTACCACACAACAGGAGAACTTTGAAGTTCCATCTTCTGCAAAGCTGCATCACATGGCAGCTTCTGTTACCAATGCAATTCCACCTAATGAATTTCAGAGAAAAGGTAACAATCACTTATTTACTCTTCTATTTTTATTTTTTTAGTTGAAAATAATTGCTCACAAAAATCCTTCATTATAGCACTTATAACATTATAGCATTGTTGCACTTCCACACAAGAGACCTTCTGTCTTTCCCCCACCTTAGAGGCCATCCCTCCTAAGAAATTCTGCAGAATTCCTTTGTGCTTTCTCTTTCTCTTCGAGGTCATGTCTCTTCCTGAGAGATTCTGTGATTCTTCACCATTCTCCATAATGCCATCCTCCTGCAGCAGAGCCACACTGCCATGATATTCAATACTGTAGAGGGGAAGGTGGCGTCTATCAGAAGGTTCATGCAGTTACAACCTGCATTATGTTTTTGCAGAATTACCACCGCTTGCCAGGGAGATGGGGACACTGTGCATCTCCCAGCCCTCCCTTCTAACACAGATCACCAGATCTTCTGCAGGTCCTGGGATGCAGGAAGTGGTGACTGATCCCATTCTCCAAGTAGGATGGGGGAGATTTATTCACAGAAAGACCATTTACAGTATGACTCCTATAGGGATGGACCCTGCATTCTTCCAATCCACACCAAAAACATCAACATAACTGATACACATGTACCCGTTATTGAAATATTTACAGTTCACTGTATTGTGTGTGTTCTTTTTTATTATTATTTTGAGATGACCATCAAAATGATCTGTTCCCAGTGCAAGAAAGGGATATAAAATCACTTGCTGGTAGACACAATCTAACCTGGAACCTATTGCATGAGGATGTCAGGATCATTCACTCTACAGGACTATCGCCCAAAATAATTAGCAAAGAACACTTTTGTAAAAAGCTGCAGGAAATGGATATACAATTGCAGGCACTACAAAACATAGCAGACAATATGGAGAAGGATTTCAGCAATACTAAATTGGTATGTTCAGACAGCTCTGTATTTTTTTTCCTTCTTTCAATTAAAATTAGAATTTACATTTTGGAATGATTTTTTTGTATACTTTAAGAAAGAGAGAACAATGGACGGTCCATTCACCCTTAGTGCTGGATCTCTTGGTTTCCATTGTTACTGTCAGAGGGCCAAATCTTCAGTTGATATAAATTGTCAGAGCTCTGTTCAGCTAAGGAGCTGGCCCAGCATGTTTAGGTAACCTAGAATTCTGTGGATTTTAAATGCCAATTGCTACAGGCTGGGAAGGAGACCTCTTTTTGGCAAGTTTTAGAAAATTCTTGGCAATTATAACTGCAGTTTTAGTTACAGATTAACTGAGTGACTGGATTTCTGGAAACCATTCACTATGACATTTACTTAGTGTGTGTTTATTTTTATAAAGAAAAATGTTTTATCAAGAGTAATTAGATGCCCATTTTTATCATTTTTATAAATCTAAATATATAAATAAAATAAATATCATTTGATTATATAGTATATTTGGATTGCAGTGTATAAATTCTAGGAAATGCAATTTCCTATATGCCATGACAAAACATGAGAACTGAGAAACCAGCAACAGAGTTTTGCCTCTCTATGGTACATCTAGTTTAATTTTCTTATGAATTTTCCATCTAAAATGTGCCAAAGTTTAATCATCCTAAAAATGTGGAAAATAATATACTCTTGTAAAATGTTGCTTTGAGAACATCTGATGAATACTACTAAGTATTATTTATTATTTCGTCAATTTAAAAGTATAATTGCAATTTACTACCGAATGGAAGTAACTTTATTAACCTGAGCCAATGAATTGTCCTTTCAGGTGGCCAGATCCCCAACTGGAGTTTAATCAGCATAACTTTACTTACTTCAACAGAGTTATGCTGATTTACATCAACTGAGAATCTGACCCAGCATGTAGTCTGGAATCACGTCAAGTGATGTTTCACAGCCATCTACTTTGTACATTATTATGCAAGCTGTTAGCACATCCAAAAAGATAATGAGGCAGTAAAGCATAAAATAGCTGGGGTAGCAGAAGAAGTTGAAAGCATTTAAAAAATATTTTTCAGGGACAGTGACAAACGATGGATCAAATTTTAGCTTTATCAATTTTGATTTAGTTTGCACAGGTAAATTTCATGCCTTTTGGAAACTCGTGTGTTGCTAGAATTTTGAAATATCTGACCTAGACCATTTACATGGAGAGTTAGTGTGTAGCAAGTCAGGGTGTGAAACTGTAGTGCACCTTGCTACTTATTTTAAATTAACCATATAAGAATAGTTCAGCAGCATAAAAATATGTATAAAAACTACCATATTATAAGGGTGCACTCCTGAAAACACGAAAGCTTGTCTATGCAGAGTGTTAGTTGAGCAGCAAGCCAGGTTATGAATCTGCTGCACACTAGCTTGTAGTGCATTAGCTGGTCGTTTGGACTTGGCTATCACACTCTTAAAAAAAAAATTCTGTAGTATACTTTTATGTCCTGCTGTTTGAAACGGGTGTATGTCAAAGTGCACTGCTGAACATCTAGTGTATGATAGCAGGGTGCACTATAGTTCTTCAATTCTATTCTAGGTGTGGCACGCCCATGTGAACAGTTTGTTGGAGACTTTTGCCTTAGCTGTATCTGTAGGGTCGGCTGCGGCACCTCCTTTTTTTCTCCATCTGAGAGGCCTTCCGCGAGACCTCTCCGAGCTGCTGGTCTTCTACCAGGACCTCCTCCGGACTTGGAAGCTTTTCTCGGAGGCCCTGCTACACAACCTCGATCTCCGTGTGCAGGTGGCGGAGTCTCCCGCGGTGTGTCGGAGGTTGGTCCTGGCAGAAACCACCAGAGTCGGAGACCTCCTGGACTATGACGGGGGATTGGGTGGAGCCCCGCGTGCTCGGATGACGCATGGAGCTTTCCACCCTTCCGACCCCTAGGCGCGTACTCCGGGAGGTGAAGGCCGCCTTGTCACCTGATTCTCTCGCTTTCCTGTGGCAAGCCCTGTGAGAGGGCGCTCCCCGCCCACCTCTCACCCCTGGCCCTCCGGACATTTTTCTCGGGCCCCTGCTCCGCGAGCCACCCCGGCCTCCCCGCTCCTACACTCCGAGCTGGCTGCACACCCTGCAGCTGGTCCGGTTTCGAACCACGCCCAGAAACCATCTATACATGCTCGTGCTCCATACGTTACATTTCCTCACCCTTTTGTCCCGCCCCAACACCAAATGGCAGGACTATCTTCCACCTAAAGAGGGTGAGGAGCCCCAGTGGGCCAGCCTTTATTCCACCTTGGTCCCACGGCCTGCCGGGGACATTAGTTGGCGGCTCCTTCATGGAGCCGTGAGCACAGGCGTGCACCTGGCGCGGTTCACCCCTACACCTGAGGCCTGCCCCTTTAGTGGCATGAGGGAGAACCTGGCGTACGCCTATCTTGAGTGCGCCAGGTTGCAGCCCCTATTCCGGCTCCTCCAGAACCTCTTGTTGAGGTCACGAGACCTCCTCGTCAACCTTCTCCTGGCTCTGGCCAAAGTCTCCATCTACAATACCAGGAGGAGGATGTTGGACGAGGGGGTGCTCTGCGACTGCGGGGCCTATTTCCGTTCCTCCCTAGTTTCACGCATCCGGGCAGAGTTCCACTGGGCAGCGTCCGCTGGGTCCCTCAACAGCTTTGAGGAGCAGTGGGCACTGTCTCGGGTTCTCTGCTCGGTGTCCTCATCCGGTATCCTTATTTTGAACCTTTGACCGTCACTCCCATCCATGTTTGTCATTAGTTGTCCCCTGTAATCAGTTGGTCCCTGGGTCCAGTGGTCCCTCCCGCTAGGCTGGGGGAGAGGCCTTTAGCAATGGGTGGGCACCCACTTTCCCGGGATTTTCCAATATGAACCCCTTGAGTGCCGCGCTCATGCATCAGTGTATCGGGCGCCGCTGACCCTACCCACTCTCTGTTCCTTCTTACTGCCTGTGATGGTTGGAGCGCCTTGTCTTGCATCGCAAGAGTATTAGCGGCTCTTTCACCTCCTTTGTTGTAGTTAGTTGTTAGGTACTTAGTCTGGCTATTAAGTTAAGTGTTAGCTAATAGTTTCAGTAGTTAGAGTCCTGGCTGGGACTTTGCTGTGGAACAGGGCAGGCTTTAAGCCATGTTCATCGTGTACCCAGCTGATGCCCATTAGTGACCCCCACGATAGCTGTTTAAATGTCTGGGGGAATCCCACAGAAAAGGCAAGTGCAGGATCTTCAAAAACTTTCGCCCTTGAACTCAAAAGGAGCAGGATATCCACTTGAAGGCCCTCCTCGTGGAGACTCTGCTTCGTCCTGCCTTGGAGCGCTCCCGATCGGACTCCACACCTACTATTTCGGCATCTGTGCACAGTGCACCGCCGGCACTGGAACCTGCCTGGCACCATTCCCCCTCGCTGGCGCTCAAGAAGTGTCTGAAGCCCAAGGGCCTGTCAGCACTGTAGGACAAGGGGGCTTTGGGCAAAGGACCTGTGTTAGGCCACGTGCCCACCCCAGAGCTACGCTAGGGTACTGCTGTGGTCGGACCCCCTAGTCCAGCTAGGGATCCGACTCCTGGGAGCTGCAGGGGATCCCGGCTGCTCGTAGGGCCACCTGTGCCTGAGGTGCCCCCGCCAGCCAAGGAACGAGTAGGCCATCCAGCACTGCAGATGCCAAGCCAGGTGATGAACTCAGTTAAGGCCCGGACCTCCCTCTAAAGCAACGGAGCGTCCCTGGACCACTGGTGTCAATCCCTGTCATCGTGGCCTAGGACCCTGGCACTGCAGCCTCAGTCTCTGGTTAGAAGACCCAGGTCCCTAACACCAAGGTTGCCACCTACAAGGCATGGGACACCTGAGTCATGATGCCAATCCCCTTACCCATGGTACTGCCAGGCCTCCCACCAGACATTGCCATGGCGCAGATCCCCATTGCCTAGGCCGTCCCCCTGGCATTGATCCCCCATGGTGCGGGATCGTTCCTGGTCGTGGCTCTGGTCTCCGACTCACTGGTACTGCTCTTTGGGCAGGCACCATTCCTTGCCCTTTCCTTACTGGTTGCTGACGAGGGTCAGCCGACAGACTCAGGTATCTATGGCTCTGCTCTGGTCACCGGAAGGGCAGTGATCTGAGTCGGAGGGAGAGTTCAGCCCATCACCTAGGAGACAGGCACAGCTCTGGCAGCAGCAGCAGGGGCAGTGGCCTGCAGTGGCAGTACTGGAGTCCATGGAGTGTACCTGTCATGCTGGTCCTGTACTTCCACCATTCCTCTCAGGCCTCATCAGACAAACTGCCTCTGGACCAGCCAGCACGGGTATCAGAGCATGGTGCTGAGTCTGTTGCGGGAGTGTCGCAATGGGCCCCAATGCCCAAGGAGCCGTCCCCAGGCAGGCAAGAGGAAGCTGCCCCACCCCCTGCGCTATAGTCTTCTTCGTTGTCTCAGGGCGAGGCGGTGGTGAGTCCCTCACAAGCAAGCAGCCCCCCCTGATGACTTCAAAGAGCATAGGGCCCTGCTCAAAAGGGTAGCTGCTAACCTGAACTTGGAGGTCGAGGAGCTAGCAGAGGAATCCAGTGACCTCTTCAATGTCATACCCTCCTCCACCCTAGCCCGGGTTGTAATGCCCATTCTCCTAGGGGTCCTGAAAATTGCCTCTTCCATTCAGTCTACCTCCAAAAAAGCAAAAAATAAATATTATAGCCTGGCAAAGGGATTTGAATATCTGTATACCCACCCTCCAGCAGGATCCCTGGTAGTATCTGCTGTCAACAAAAGGCCAGTGGCATACCCAAAAATAAAGATGCCAAGAGTTGGACTTGTTTGGTAGGAAAATTTATTCGACAGCCAGTCTGCAATTTTGGGCGTCTAACCATCAGGCCCTGCTAGGCAGGCCCCAACCCAGCCCTGACCCGGATCTGTCACGGTTGAAGGAGAGGCGCCCCTCCCCCACAGCCCAGGTGCTGCTGCATGGAGAGAGAACTGGGGGGTTCTCTCTCCCCATCACAGCCTCGGGCAGCATGTACCCCAAACCCCTCATCCCCAGCCCCATGCCAGAGCCCGCCCCCCCCAGCCGGAGCCCTCACCCACCACACATCCCAACCCTCTGCCCCAGCCCTGAGTCCCCTTCCACAGTCCGAACCCCTTGGCCCCACCCCCACCGCATGAATTTTGTTATGTGCACTAATATTGAGGTGATGTGTCCCTGTCCTCTGCACCTGGGGCTGTGCTGGCCGCTTCCTGGAGCAGCGTGTTCCTGGAGCAGCGTGGGGCTGGAGCAGGCAGGGATCCTCACTCTGCTGCTGGAGATCGCAATCGACTGGTTGGTGAGCACTGCTCTAGACTGTGAACTCTGAGCCCACCTGCAAGGATACTGCTTGTGAGTCACCTAGAATGGAATCAACATGAGCAAGCACTCAAAGAAGAAAAAAGGCTACTTACGTTGTGTAGCTATTATTCTTCGAGATGTGTTGCTCATGTCCATTCCATAATCGCCCTCCTGCCCTCTGTCGGAATTGCCGGCAAGAAGGAACTGAGAAGACGTAGGATCGGTGGCGCTTGATATACCGACGCATGACTGCAGCAGTCAGAGGGTCACTGCAACCAACCCTATGGATACTGCTAAGAGAAAAGTCCCCAACGACTGTGCACATGGGCGCGCATGCACCTACCTAGAATAGAATGGACATGAGCAACATATCTCAAAGAACAACAGTTACAGAAGGTGGGTAACCATTTTTTTCACACCCTGACTTGCTACACACTAACTCTCCATGTAGACAAGCCCTTAGGCATATGAGTAGCATGAGCTTAATGGGACTACTCATGTGAATAGTATTGTAAACGTTAGCAGGGTATGTTTTTTAAAGATTTAGCTGTTTACGTGAACCAATTGAACAAGACTGTTAGGGCTCCTTTGGCTCCTGTCTCAACCAAATTATTTATTTATTTAGTTGAAAATGTTTTGAATATTAATATATTTATTAAAATGTTAAACAGCTATTTCTGTTTAAAACAATCCTTTCATGAATATTTGATATATAATTGTTTCAGTTAAACAAAACATTAATCAAAAATACTTTAATCAAGTATGTGAGTTCTTTTCTTAGATAGTAAAAACAATAGAAGATTTAGGAATGGCTGCCAGTCCAAACTTGGGTGCAGCTTCCTTGTTCTCTGAAGGTGTTGGAGTTATTGATGAAGGTATGTGTCCTGCTAAATGAGGAGTGTTGGGCCCTGTGCTGAATCATGGAATTTTGCAAATTTATTACCACTTAAAGTAATGTTACCTCAATTACAAAATTGGGAAAAGATCAGGTTACCAATCAAGAAGAGGTAACATGAAAGGTAGAAAATTAGAGTACTGATATAAAGGGAATTTACTCAACCACATTGGACTAGAAATTATTGATATACTTTTAATTGTTTCTACAACTAAGATGCAGGACCTGATCTTGGGTTTTAGAAATAATGGTTTTTATTGCAGTTATTTTGTAAAATCAAATGCCGTGCTTGCATTGGCTTCCACACTAATTTTGTAAAACATGATAATTTGCCCTCTGAATGTTTTCCTCATGTTGTAATAAAATTACATTATTCATGCCGTTTTGGTGGCTAAAAGGATATAATATTACCCTTTAGCCTGATTTAATAAAAGGTCACATCAATTAAATTGGTTTCTTAGTGGTGAGGTATTGATTATGTAATTGATTATTTTTGTCTAGAAAATGGATTGAAAATACGTATATGGGTAGCTCTGCTGCTCTGTATTGATTGATTGAGGCTAAGAGGGATCATCATATAATTTCATATCAAATATACGGCCAGATCATGGCTACATTCTGTATTGATACACAAAATTGATGGATGAGCCACAATTTAGTCCTCCACATGGGCAGGCTACCATGTACCTGGCAATTCCAGGAGCCACAACAACTCCTGGAGCTCAGACTGGGGCAGTATGGCTCCATACTTGAACTGATTAACTTTCAGCAGCACAGTGATCTGAATACATTGGGTTTGGGGTTTTTTTGGTTAGAAGGGTATATTAATCAATCCATAACACAAATTCATAAATATATTACTATTTCACTGCATTTTCTGTTTTTGTTTGGGTTTTTTTACTTTGTTTTACTTACTGTGTCTATTAATTCTTCCATTGCATCAGCACATTATGTGAGCTCTGTGGACTTTGAAGATCTTATGGATGAAGAAGAGGAGGGTTCAAGACCTGAACATTCTGTAACCAGTTATACAGCCTTGCAAGCTCACTCTCTTTCCCCTGCAAATTCATCTGCTAACCTTCTGGGTCGTATAAAGTCATCATCCGGTATCATTCTTTAATTTACCTTTTTTCCCCTTTACTTGTTTAAAAGCAAGTTGACGCATTTCTTTGTGTTGCTGAAATCTTTCTTTGTCTGGCTAGGCTGGAAGGAGGAGAGGAGACACTGGATGTGGTTTAGTTAGGCTGCAAATTTTATTCCTAAATGTCTGGGAGTACCCAGCAGATAAAAATGTACAGTGCAGGTAATTCCATAATCATTTACATATACCCAAGGAGGCTGCTAGGACCTTCCCCTCCCCACCTCGACTGAGGGTCAATGGAGCTAAAGGGGGGAGGGGTTGATTCCCTGCCATACCCAGTCATAGGAGTCCCGACCCCACAGCAGCGTGCCCTCCCACAGTTTCTCCTCTTTCAGTGAATACCTCCTTTAAATCTTTTCCCAATCCATTTTATCTGATCACTGTATCTGTTCCCTATGGAGTACCTGCACTTACATAATGAGTTGTGACTTCATAGCCTAATCCCCTCCTTTCATTCTTCCCTTCTCCCCCAAAACTCCAGTCCACTGTGGGAAATGCAAAAAATCCCCACCAATCTGGCAGTGAGGAAAAACTCCTTCCCAGACCCCCGAAAGGAGCAACTAGCATAATGCCCAAAGTGGATCATAACGAAAACCTGGTATTTCAACTACTTACATTGCTGAAAAGGTGGGTGGTGCTCTGCCTGACAGGCAAAAAGAGGCCTTTCACTGCCCAGATATGAGCATAAATAGTTCCCCGCTCTTCCAGTCACCTCAGGGAGGGGGTGTCATGGACTCATAGGTTGTGCCCACGCTTGGCCCTGTGCGATCTGTGGGGGAAACCCCCTTCAGTGAGACAGCCCTTCTCAGGGGTCCACTCTCTTTCGGGGGTTCAGCCCCTCCACCTCCTGGAGCTGCACCTCTCCCTCGCCATGGGTCCCCTCAGGGAGTCCAATCGCTGTGGACCCCCAGGGCCTCCACTTCCAAAGGGAATAATGCCACCCTGTTCTCTAGACCAGAGCGACTCTCAGCCAGCATAAAACAGGAGGGTTTATTGAGCATTTGAACACAGCATAGGAAACTCTCAGGGCCCTCAGGCCTGGCCTCCCTCAGCATAGCACATCCAAGTCTCCCCTGCATCCAGGTGGGCCCTGCCTGCTCTCCCTCTCCAGCTCAGAGCCCCCCTGCTTTCCAGCTGGGCATCTGATATCACCGGCCCCATTCCCCGCCTCTGTCCATTGTCTTCTCTCCAGGTAAACAGGGTTGCCTGGGCCTCCTCTCCCCTCTTCTGTCCTCTGGCCCCCTCTGGCTGGAACCAGCTGGTTAGGTCACCGGTGTCCTCTCTTCACAACCCATTGTCCTCCCACTAGCCAGAACCCGCTGCGACTCCTGAGCTGGGCCTCCAGGTCACCAGTCGTTGGGGTATCCATTCTCCAGGCCATTGGCTGGGGTCCCAAGTTCCCTCGCTGGTCCTCTGTAACAACAAACTTCCTCTCCCAGTAACACCCAGGGAAACTGAGTTCCACCCCCTCTGCATGCAAACCATTGGAAAACGAGGAAAAAACAAGAAAATCCCCACTTCGTCACAGGGGTTAATAGGTCAGCATCCCCATGTTGACCTGGGATGGAGCTGCCTCCATGTTGCAGGTAACTCTCTGGCTTTCTAACCACCCTTAAAGGAGCAATACACCTTCTCTGCCAAGCCCAACAAAGGTCCCCACGGCTTAGTGTGCAGTGAGATTATTAGCATTATGTGAAGTATCATGCCACTTTTCTCGGTTGCTTGATTTATGCATTCAGGAGTGTAGAAGCACTGTTTTTGTAACCCATGCACACACATTTAATGTACAGATGTACATTTAATGCTTGATGACAGTCCAGAGAGGTATTATGTCCTGTGTTATGTCCAAAGATACCTCCATTAGAATGTTGTTGAAGAAAAGTAAATAATTTTGGGTCTGATTCCCTCCTTTTTATCTGCCCAGTGACTTGAGAGGAGAATTTAACTCCAGTCAACCACATGACAATGAAATGTGTTGCTATATGTCACTAATACCAGTTCCCCTAGCTGTATCCTAGCCTGAATGCTCATTTTATTTCATCTAGCCTCATTTCAATGTGCAAAGTAAATAGCTGTACTGACATTACAGTTCTCTTTGGCGGTATGTGCAATGACAATTCTCTTGCCTTTCTCTTCTTTCACATTCTTAGCTATTATATGTACTTTTGGTGAGTGACTAGGAATCTAGCTCTCAAGCTGTAGCAGCCTAGCTAATGATTTTAAAACAGTGATCCCCAAACTGTGGGGCATGCCCCCCTGGAGGCGTGCGATGGGGCCCTGGCCAGCCCCCATGGAGGGCAGGGAGGGAGAGCCACCCAGCACTGCTCTGCTCCCAGCTCTACTCTGGCCCTGGCCGCAGCTCCACTCTGTCCAAAGCCCCGGCTGCAGCTGTGCTTCTGGCCACTCCTCCACTCCCAGGTCCAACCCCAGCCACAGGTTGGGCTCAGTTCCTGGCCCCAGTCCTGCTTCCCCTCCCTGCTCCACTCCTGCCCCCAGCTCCTCTCACTCTCCTGGCTCCAGGTCCAGCCCAGCTCTGTCCTCATTCTCTCTCTCTCTCCCCCACCAGGCCTTGAGCCCCAGCTCCTCCCTTATCCCCAGTTCTGCCCCAAGCTCTGCCTTCAGCCCAAGGTCCTCTGCTGAGCCAATTGTTCAGTAATGGTGGGAGGCATGAACAGATTCCATTACTGATGAAGCAGGGCACAACAGGAAAAGTGTGGGCACCACTGTTTTAAAAGCTCGATTCCCAAGTGAGATCTGCTTATAAGCAGTGAACATCAAATGATATAAAAAGCCAGACTGATCATATAATTGTTACTGAATTGTATTTAAATAGAGAGCTGTAACTTCCAAGCTAAGGGCCAAGATTGATATTTGTTACATTGAATGTCTCTGACC